ATATGTATAAAAATGTGATGCTGGAAAATTTGGTGATCAAAAGTATCTTTCTTTGGTGATCATTTGTATCTAAAGGCGTTTGGTGATCAAAAGTATCTTTTTTTGGTGATCAAAAGTACATTTACTCTAAGAATAACATTGATAAATTTAAGAACTAGTTTTTGTACTCCGGAAAGAGACTAATCATGAAAATATCAATTATATAGAAGATTTATACCTTCTTGATGAATATTTCACAGTAATCACATTTGTTTTCTTCAAGTAAAGTTTAAAAAAGGTCAGTCCTTATCCAACAATTTCGTGCCTATGGTCAACCTTCGAATTTGGTCATATTGCCCATCTCTGGTCCACTATCAATATGATGTTCTTCTACTGCAATGTAAAATTTCGTAGAACAGTCACGACAACATACTTCTTTATCTATACTAATCAAAGTTAGTATAGCATCTACGCTAAAGCGTTTTCATAGACTTCGTCTAATATAAAAGTTTTATAAGATTTGGATATGAAGAGTGATAAACTATGAAACATCGGTACTAAGTTGAAACTTAAGCACCCATTTAAGCTTGTTTTGCATGAAAGTTAATGATCTAATAAATTTTTTATTCTACTTAGATGAAAAAGACAATTACTGAGAAATTCTTTTGGAGACCTTGACTCATTTTTGGCGATAAAACAAACATTGCAATGATGTTTAGAATAGTCGATTATACACTGTAAAAAATAAAGTGTGCCCGCTAGTAAGCATTCCCCCAAGTGTGCATTTCGAGTCCAGAGTGATGTGCAAATTGTCGCTGTGTAATCTGAATTTTTATCTTACGTTTCTCTATGAAAAAAAAACGGAAGAATTCTTCTCTTCGGTCTTTTTTCACGTTCTATCTATGGAAGCTATATGTGCAATTCTAGTGTGTTACAGACACACTGAACAAGCCGTTTTCAGTGTGCAACAACAGTCCAACGTGATGTGCACATTCAATGTGTTCCGGGCACACTTTATTTTTTACAGTGTATATACTTTCATGTCTTTGATGTTACTTAGGATCAAAGAACAAAAATCGAGGTGTCTCGAACATTCTAGTACACACTGTAAAAAAACACGTGCCCTGCTCCGGGGCAATGAATGTGACATTTTGAAAAGTGTCCCACTATGGGGTACTTTTTCGCAATTTTCATGTTGATAGTGGCTCTAAAGAGTACCTCATCGTGGGGCACTTTTCAAAGTGTCCCGTTCATCCCCCCAAAAAGTGTCCTGAGGCACTTGTTTTTTAAAGTGCAGTGTTGGAACAGTAGCTAATAAATAATGAAAAACCGACGCATTTTACCTATCCTTGTTCAAAAGTTATTCGGGAAAAAAAGCATCTGTTCTTCATAGATATTACCAGAGATAATGTTCTACTTTTTTTTTAATTTCCATAAAATCAGACGTCCTTATGTACTAGTCGCATAGTTTCACACATAAAAGTACACTTTTATAAAAAAACATTCAGCATATAAAACCGAAGTATGTGTGTTTTCTTTGCTAGAAATCAACAAACGAACATAATTTTATTTTCTCCTTTCAAAAGCACCGATAACTAAAACCTAATTTTATCAGAATATAAACTGGAAGGACTCTGATTCCGTCATTAGTTGGAGCACGATCCTGTTATTTTATTCGATCAGCTCGTGCTTCTATCGCTTTATGAAGTTTTTTCATGCTTTATTTATTTGTGCTCATAATTTATTTAACAAAAGATAAAAATACAGAAAAAAAATATATATATAAATTTCCACAGAACGGATAATCAATGATATGGTACATAAACACATGTAAAAAGTATGTTTCCCTTGTAAAATTAGATCTCATTAAAGAAGAAAGTAAAGAATAAAGAGGTACAATATGCTCTGTATAGTTCGTAATTGTTCATATATGAGAAAATAACTAAAGACAAAGATAATATGTGTAAATATTTGCGGTAGAGATTAAAAAGGTTGAGTTGTTTTAAATTACGCAAATACAACATTAAGAAAACGCAGACCAAAGTGTCAATGCATTTGTACAGATATTTTTATAAAAAATAGCTTCAAAAATAAAATTTAAAATAAAACTTCACAAGTTTAGATAAAGTGCCGAAAAGTTTTCTGAATGTATTACGGGAATTATACAAAACATCAATTAATATCTGTTTTTAAAATAATGCGCATTTCTGTGCTTCAATAGTATGACGATACAACATCTCTCATTCTCAAACGACAAGAAAGATGATACGACACCAGTCTTTTGCGGAGAAAAGAATTATATGCAAAAATAAACTACATTTACTAACCGTTTTAACCAAACACTGTAATACCGACATATTTTGATGGTTAAAAGTCTAAAAACTGTACAATAGTTGATGAAAAACCATAGAAAAATAAGCTGATATAAGGATAAAAATATCTGCAACGCACAGTCATATTGTAGAAAACAAAAAAGGTAAAACAATGGTTAAAAAGGAAAACAGAAGAAAAGAAAACGAGATTAATCAAGAAAAAAAGACATTTCAGGTCTCTGTTTTTCTGCGAATATATACAGATCAGTAAAGAGAAAAAAAACAAACAACAGCAAGAAAATAGAATTTTGAACTAAAAAAAACAAAATATCATTTAATGATTACTTGCAGCGCATTGTATATATGGAGCAGATTCTTAAACCTCTTTGACTAGATCGTATTCTTGTAAATTTGCTATTTAATTTATTCATTACGTAACAGCTAATGTTAATGATTTATACGGATTGGAATTATGATCGGTATACGGCATATTGTTGTATGGATCATCGTACAATAGAGCTTCATCTTGATTTTCCGGTAAATGTAAACGTGATTCGTTTTCATCTCGATTTGGTGATATGTGAAATAAATGAAATTTACGTCGAAAACGCGAAAACCCACCAACGTTACCACCTCCACCTCCACGACGATTTAGGACGGTGTACGTGTAAATCATTAATACCACTAAACAAGCAGTCATTATGCAACCAAGCAAAATAAATAATATACGACGACCAGTGTGTTTTGATAATGAAGCTGATGTCGACGAAATGAAAGCTGATGGCAGCGATGTAACTAAAAAACACCATGTAGTAAACAAGTATCTTGCATTATAGAGGGTACATATAAAAAATTTTGCATAGCTGTCAATATTGGAACACTATAAGGCTCTCACAACTTCAGCAGCTAACAAACGCAGATACCCTCATACTAGATGCAGAAGGACGAATCAAATGCAAAACATGTCTCAGTTTTCACCAAGATATAACTTTATAATGAAATGATCTACCGACCATTACTGAAAAACTTAGCAGATCTCGTTTTACTTGAAAGTTTTACAGATATTTTTACGAAAATGTTCATACCTGTCACAGTAATGACTGCACTCATCGTAGCTTGCGTTGAAGATGAAATATTAGCTACGACTAACGTTGGAGTTGGTGATAGTACAGTTGAAGAAATATTTGAAGATAATGAACCATTTGTATCATTTAGACCTGCAAAAATGAAAGAGAGAAAAGAAATTATGTAGGAGGTTCATACGAAGAAGAATGGGGTGTTCGTTGTATGGTTTTTAAGTTGATTTTAAGTTAGTGTATGTATTCTGTAACAGGTTTCTCTTTCTACTCTGATGCATTGGGAAAAAAGATTTTCTTTCGATTTCTAATCAACTTTTCAGTCATTACTTTTAATAGAAGAGAGCTAGACCAAAAAAGTTAAAATACGATGATAGTCAGACATAGTAATAGCATACCGTAACAAGTTGATACAATAATTAGGATAAAACAGAGCCAATCTTTAATTAACATTTTTGTTCAAATAAAAAATCTTAAAAATAAATATAAACAGTTTTTTCCATACATCAATAAAGATTGATGCAGCATCCTTTGACATTTCGTTCTTAACGTCAGACAAAAATAATTTCATTTGTCTAAATAGAACTAACGTTTGACGTGCCGATATTTTTCTTTATTGTGTAAATCTTTTTCCTTCATTTATGTCTTCTCATTTCCATACTTCAAAAGAAAAGAGACAAAAGCAAAAATCATCCTGCAGAAAACAAAACAGTTTCTAAAAAAGAAAATACTCTTCTCATAATACTCAATTCTTAGAACGTAATATGTTACTGAATTTAAAATGATTAACGAGACAAATAAATCTCAGAAAGAATGTAAGAGAGTTACATTAATGAAAATAAATAAAGGATAAAACACGATGATCGTGCAAAATGAGTGCTGGGTGACGCACGAATAACAAATGGAAGAGTTTAAGTATGATATTTTTAGGAGAGACGCTCGTGCACATATCAGTATCGACGAAGGTCAAAATTTATTAATTTTCCTAATTGGTATATCTAATATACATTATTAACTTTGATAGTTTTTAAACTGTAAGCGTAGAGAATCAGCGTTATATTTCCATTGGAACAAAATTTTCGCCAATCGCGAACAGCTACAACTGAGTCAACATCCGTCTTGTTTGTTTAGATGTTTTAATCATTTTTAGCAGCTAACTTCGTTTATAATGATGTTAAAATTGATTATAAAACATTTATTCATAAATTTTTGCCATTATTATACATTTTGTTTACGTCAATACAAGATACGCTAAGACAAAACGCTATTGTCACATTGTTCATCTTTAGCATATCTGAATCGTGTGATTAGCATAGTCGGATGTTATCTGCCCAAATTGTTGCCATTTTCAGACACCCTCCATATTCATTCAAAGTTAGCTGTCTACAGACGAAATATGCAAAAAGCTTCAAAATAGTTCCAGATAACCAGTTTCGGTCAATCCGGAAAGGCAACGCTTCTCGATTTTTCGTCGAAAATCTGAACAAAACTACGCTGTTAAAGTAAATTCGGATTTTCTGAACGGAACACTTACGGTTGATTAGAATCACATATCTTTGCAGAGCAAGATGTAGTGCCATGCACTCCACATTCATTATATTATATTCACTAGGTTATAGAAAAAAATAAGGAAGATAAGTTTTAATAGCTAGCAGGTAGTGACGGAGGATTGTCCGAATTACTACAACCTGATCGCTAATTCTCATTAGTTTATTGTGAACAGCTTGTGTTTGTGTGTGAAATAAATAGATCAAATAACTGATGCCAATATCGCTCCCAAAATGAGTGGCAAATCACCGCAGATACTTAAAACCCTATGCTTTATCTAAATTTGAAGGTTTTTTGCGTAGAAAACTCACGGCTTTTGAGATATCCACGTTTTGAGAAAAAAATTCAAATTTTTTTTAAATTTAAAGTATGAGTTTTATGTTAACGAAGATCTCATTAGATCGAGCATGAACATTTAGGTCTATAAAATGGCAATTTTTTGACAAATGGAAGATTTTCAACGAACAATTCTTAACGATCATTATTCGTAGGTAGCTATTTAACAAGCCGCGCTCGAAAAAAAGAACACTAGAAACATTAAAAGTCATGGTGAAAATACGAGATCATGAAAAATGATGTACCGTTTTTTGCGTGACAAAGTCTCATTCTAATATAAACGATTTTGCGATGAAAAAGCTTTTCCAAAAGTAGTATCGATTTTGAAAAGTTATTGTTCATTACACTACCGTTGTATGAAAACCACATTATGAAAAGAAAAACTTTTATCATTCCCATTATTTAAATAACAAAAGATTGTTAAAAGCTGTCAATGGTGAAAAAACAGAAAGTTTATAATATTAAGGAGCATTCATCCCAGAATAAACATCTCAGGTCGTGATATAGTACACTTTTCATTGTTTATACTCAGCCAAAATGTGAAAGTGATGTTGTTGTTTTTTACATTATACCGTCGATTATTGTAATAGAAATTGTAGTGCATAAGTTACATTTGTCGCACATTTCTATTACTCATTCTTCTCTCACAGGAGGCTAAGTGACAGCTAGCTCACAGATAAGTCAGTACTGAGATTTTTTTATATCTGATGCGAATCAGTTCAGCAAAAATAGAGTTTTTCTTTAGTTTTTACATGTAATTCATATATATATATATATATATATATACAACATAGACGGGTAGACTTGACACTATTTATCAATTTTCTGAAATTGCAGCAATTTGAACTCGTAGATGCTCTCTCCTTGAATAAAATCCATGATGGAGTCTCTATAGAAATATGCCGGTGTGCATCAGACTTACTTACACAACTGATTCCAGTTGATCAAATCGATTCAAAACCAACTGATTTAGTCCCAGCTGATATGAATGAC